GGAGATAGAAGCCTCATCAGACGGTAGGGTTGCCAACTTTCTACTTGCACAAAACCGAACACCCTTGCCCCGCCCCTCCTCTGAGGCCACGCTCCTGCCCTGCTCCTTCTCCAAGGCTCCGCCCCTTCTCTGAGGCCCCGCCCCTGCTCACTCCATTCCCCCTCCCTCTGTCGCTCGCTCTCCCCACTCTCACTCATTTTCACTGGACTGGGGCAGGGGGTTGGAGTGCAGGAGGGGGTGAGGGCTCCAGCTGTGGGTGCGGGCTCTGGGGTGGGGCCAAAAATTAGGAGTTCAGGGTGCGGGAGATTGGCTCCAGGCTGAGGCAGTGGGTTGGGATGAGGGAGGGGGTGAGGACTCCAGCTGGGAGTGTGGGCTCTGGGATGGGGCCAGGGGTGAATGGTTTGCAGCCCAAAAGGGGGCTCCAGGCTGGGGGGGTGGAGCTGAAGAGTTTGGAGTATGAGAGGGAGCTCTGGGCTGAGGCAGGGGGTTGGGTTGTGGGAGGGGGTATGGCTTCCAGGGTGGGGCCAGAAATGAGGGGTTCAGGGTGCAGGAGGGGGCTCCAGGCTGGGGCACAGCCTGGTCAGCGATGATGACCGGAACCACCAGGGTCCCTTTTCAACTGGGCGTTCTGGTTGAAAACCAGACACCTGGCAACCCTATCAGAGAGGGACTGCAGGTCTGCTTTCCCCACACGCACGTCTTCCCTTGATGCAGTAATAACTGAAAGAAAAGAGGGCCTAAGGGACTCAAATATGTACCACTAACTAGAGCTAGGCTGACAACTAGCTAGAAAGGCAAGTTCACAGGAGGAATGAGCTGAAGCACATTATGTGCTGACCACCAAGCATTGATAGTGGGAAGGAACTGAAGGATGGGCAGGGGCAGCTCTGCCCTTGATAGACTTACTTGGGAGCATGAGGGACATCAGGGCACAGCATGGCTGCCCCTACATGTACTGCTGGGGAGAACTCTCTGGCCCCGGTGCACAAGGTGCGGATGCACCTAGTGTAACGGACATATCCAATCGCTCAAAGAAGAATAGACATATACATCAGTAGGGCCACTTTCACCTTACCTGTGTTCAGACCCTTATTTCCCCTTGCAGAAGCCGTTGTGATCTTTCTGCTGCCTAATATCACTTAAGTTTTGTTTTTGCACAATAAGGATCCTATTCCTGCTTTCCTTGTGCACCCCAAACTTTCACTGAGGGCCGTTGGAATCTGAGGCTTGCAATAAAAAGCAGGGTCGAGACCCTTGTTTGGGAAAAGAAATCCTAAGTGGTATTAAGTATTTTTAAGTCAATGTGAGTTTTGGGTATGCCAAAAAAACCCAACAGGTTAGTGGACAAAGGAAGCAATTGGTATAAACTGCTTCCTTATGCGCTAGAATGAGGCCCTGATTTGGCTGAAATCTCTAGAGCCTACTACATTATTGGAAAATAAATAATTATTAATAATACAGAACAGAGGGGATTATGCTTTCTGCCTAGAAGCTGCTTGGAGCATTCCCCATTATTAATAGTTTTCTCAATACAGATTTCTCCTGAGAAACACAAACTGTGTAGAACTATATAAAATCATGACAGGTGTGGAGAAAGTAAAGAAGGAAGTATTATTTACTCCTTCTGATAATACAAGAACTGTGAGTCACCAAATGAAATTAATAGGCAGCAGGTTTAAAATAAACAAAAGGAAGTATTTCTTCACACAATGCACAGTCAACCTGTGGAAATCTTTGCCAGAGGATGTTGTGAAGGCCAAGACTATAACAGGGTTCAAAAAAAAGAACTAGATAAGTTCATGGAGGAGAGGTCCACCAATGGCTATTAGCCAGGATGGGCAGGTATGGTGTCCATAGACTCTGTTTGCCAGGAGCTGGGAATGGGCGACTGGGGATGGATCACTTGATGACTACCTATTCTGCTCATTCCCTCTGGGGCACCTGGCATTGGCCACTGCCGGAAGACAGGATACTGGGCTAGCTGGACCTTTGGTCTGACCCAGTATGGCCGTTCTTATGTTCTGTGATGTTGTGACCCAACTCCAGTTACTAACCAACTCTTTGAACATTATAGGGATTTTTAAAAAGTCACAAATTTCTTTGACATTAATCTGCAATGTCAAACACGCTGTGAGAAGCCTTCAAGGCAATGATTAAGGCCCCACATAACACTTTTTGCTTCTGATTCACTCTAGTAACACAAACACAACATAATGGTAATATCAAAAAAAACAAGTTTCACAATAGGAAATCCAAGGTATGATCTACTTATCGCCAATTGTACACAAGATCGAACCAAAAAAAAAAAAAAAGCTTCAGTGGAGAGATACTAAAGGCTGTTGCTCAAGGCAAAACAAAGGAACTATGGATGGAGAGATAAGAATAGCCAATTACATGTCTGACTATGACAAGGGAAACAGCACATGCTATTTCAGTAATAAAAACAATAAGGTAATACAATAATGCAGAATGCCATTTAAATAAATAAATCTCTTTACACCGAAAGACCTAGTCTATTCACACTATTCCAATACTACCCTCAAAATATAAATCTTTCTCATGTAGTCTTAGCATACACTGCCAAGAGGTGCACAAAAACATCAAATCTTTTTGAAAATTAAAAATTTCCCCAGAAATCTTACTGAAAATGAAATTTTGCAAGTCAACAAGCCTTCCAGCCTAGCAAAACCACTAGAGCAGACAGTTTATCAGCAGGTTTGTTACAACCTATGTGCACAATAGATAAACCAACCTTTACTTATGTTCAAATAAATTTGTTAGTCTCTAAGGTGTCACAAGTCCTCCTTTTCTTTTTGCGAATACAGACTAACACGGCTGCTACTCTGAAACCAGCCTTTACTGCAACTGCTTAATTAGATTCAAAGCAAATTAGCACTATCTTTGTTCCAGAACCTGACTTCTATTTCTGTACTAACAAACCCAAATAAGGACCTCACATATTAACTCATTTAAGTTCATGATATTCATAATATTCAGAACTGACATAAAAAGTTTAATGAGACTATTCGTGACACATATAAAAGGACATGCACATCTTTATAAATCTGGCCCCTCAGGCTACAGGAGGCAATGTATTTGCAGGGACAGAGCAAGGGAGGAAGCCAAGACTCCCCAGTTCTTTCACTGGCTCCACTACAAGCTTTCTGTGTGACCTTGGCAAAGTCACTTAACATCCTTGTCTTTTCCCCCCACTATCTGGAAAATGGGTATAATACTAAAAGACTGTAGACTAGCCCCAAGCCAATTTAACCCCAATTATCACTGTCTACATATTAGAGAGACAAGGTGGGTGAGGTAATATCTTTTATTGGACCAACTTCTGTTGATGAATGAGACTAGATTTTGAACTACACAGAGCTCTTCTTCACCAACAAAAGTTGGTCCAATAAAAGATATTACCTCACCCACCACATCTCTCTAATATCCTGTGACCAACATGTCTACAACAATACATTCTACATATGAGACTCTGAAACAAACTAACTAGCATCTCTTTATTCATTATCATATTAATGTATCTATTATTTGTATTCTAGATCAGGATGCCATTGTGTTAGGTGCTGTACATACACAGAATAAAAGTAAAAGCCCCACAGAAAGAGATAGACCTGCTCTGAAGAGCTTACTTTGCATTGTTAATCCCTGAATTTGAAAGCCCTTTACAAATGCTAAAAAGGGTGTTTTGTAAAGGGCTTTGAGATTCTCTGCTGAAAGGAGCTAAACAAATGCAGAGTATTATCATCAATAATAAAAGGTTACCACTAAGTTTGTTGAAGTCCAAAATGTAGGTTTTGGCAGTTAGAACTTCTTGGTGTATAAATGTCAAGGCTACAGGATCCAGCCCTGCTCCCATAAACTTCAATGAGAATAGGCTTGAGCCCAAACTCTCTTTCAATTAAGTCTGTACTGCGTAAATAAATCTGACTCGCTAAGTGTGTCATTAATCAAATCAATCCAGGTGACAAGTTAAAATCTATGTGGTAATTTCAGTAAAATTTGTATTGCTAGCTCTATATACAGTACAGATGATAGAGACTAAAAGAAATAATTCAAATTATTGACTTTAAAGTGAGGTGTACAACTTCACTTTACTAGTAGAGCTCCCATTGGTATTACATATTTAAGAAATTCAATGAATTGTCAGTGAGGGATTCTTTTAACACTGGATATTTGCATAATGACTACTTTTTGGAATGTTAATAGGAGATCACTTCAGAATTATTTATAAGCTCACGAAAGCTCATGCTCAAATAAATTGGTTAGTCTCTAAGGTGCCACAAGTACTCCTTTTCTTTTTGCGAATACAGACTAACACGGCTGTTACTCTGAAACCTGTCATTATAAGAGTGGGTCTTCTGTATTAAAACAGTCTCCCAGAGTTTCACATTACTTTTAACTTATTTTTAGCACAGTTTTGCTTTCACCAGCTGCAAAGTAAAGCACCAGTATATTTATCTCAAAGATCTTGTTGCCAAGCACTCTTCCCTTTCACCAGCTGCACATATATACCAAGAGGAGGCTTTCCCTTATGGACTGATCCTGCTCCCTTCAAAGTCAACAAATAATACTAAATATATCTGTGTCCTGCCATCACCAGGCAAGTCAACACAGTCCAAGCCAAGTGAAGATATATCTCTGTTCCCGTTGCTTAGTATTTCATATGCAGCATGAACAGCACCTTTAATATTCTGCTAGGCCATAGAAATGTATATGGGATTAATAGAAGTTCATTGCTAGTTTACCGTGGAGTTAGAAACAGTCGATTTTGTGAGCTAGAATATTTAATATTGCTCAACTAAAGCAAACAAAAGGTGGAGGAAATCATGGGAAGTACAGGGTAGGTACTGAAGTACTGAAAGGGGAGGAGAAGAGTATTGAAAAGGGAGGAGTGCTGAGGTAGGAGGGGAAAGGGGAGTGGAATGAGGGAAATGCTAGCTGCTATTTAGGGCAGTGTAGGCTGCTCCCTGGACAGACAGACTTTTGTGGGCTGTACCTGTGGAGCTGGTAGCACTGCTGATCTGAGCACAACTCTTTGAGCCCAGACTCCTTCCTGAGAGAGACTCCAGAGGGGAAGAAGATGAGCACAGTGGGCAAAGTAAGACAATGGGGTACGCTTGTTTGGTGCTGATTTCCAGTCCTCCTCTTTGATTGCATAGCACGGGTATATCTTCTCTGAGTGCTGTGCAGGTATCACATGCTGCTCTCTTCCTTTGCAGCAGTGACTAAGGTGGGGTGGGTGGCACAGAGGGAGAGTGCTCTGAAGGATCCCCATGTCTCCTGCTCGGGGCACTGTAGAGCGCAGTAAGTGGAGAGTAAAGTAAGGGATGCTGCAGTCCTGGTGTTCCCTTGATTTCACTGCGGATTTGCGGGGAAGATGGATCACACAATTGGGATGGAGAGTAGCAGGGTCGGGCTGAGAGCAATACCCCTGGGCTGCAGCAAGGGGAATGGGCACCACTGTGCAGAGGAGCTGTTTCTGAAATTAAGATATACAGAAAAGGGTTTTTATTAAATCCAACCGTAAAAAATTGGACTAAGAGAAAATGTGGCAAATCAGAGAATAGAGCACATTCCTGGTACATGCCCTGCCCCAACATATGCCATGGTTTGACTTTTATTCCCCGTTGTTTTGTTGTACTGCGTACCTGGTCAGAAGTATAACTGTTTCCCCGGAATGTTAGTATGCATTATAGTATATGAATGTTACAGATCTAGGGCTAAGTGCAACATGGGGCCCAATCCTTCAGTCTTTATTTCAGTATTATTTATTATTACTTGTTTAGCATTGACAATATACTCTGCAAACAGATTTCTGGCAAACTTGAGGCTGTACAGCTCTTAGGAGCCATTACATCCAAGGAATTGCTGAAATGCAAAGCACTCCACCCTCTCCAGCTCTGGGGAAAAAACCCCCAAAACAATGTCCCATCCCTGTCCTGGACAACACAAAAGCAACATGTCAGCTCCTGAGGGTAATTTTACAGCCCTTTGGCACCACTCTAGCAGCCCAACGGGACCACAGCAAGGACAAGAATCTGACCCAATTTAAAGGGCTCCAAAGAATTTACACTCTCAGGGTCTGATCCTGAACACATTTATATGTCACTAACTTTATTTATGTGATTTCAGTGGGAGTGCTCACATGAGTAGGATTATGCACATGCACAAGTGTTTGCAGGGGAAAGGGTCTAAAGAGGAGACGGGGCACACTGCCAAAACTGGACGAGGAAGCAACTTAGAGTTTGCTTCTTTTGTTTTCTGTATTATTTATTAATAATACAGTCTCAGTCCTCATGAGCATTGTTAAAATGTTATTCAGCGGTATCACAATGAGGACAGGGTGGTAACCTGATGAACAAGGAGAAGATAGGGGCCAGTGCATGCGTAAGGGAAAACTTCCTCTGACTTAAACGCAAGCAGGATTCGGTCCTGACAGTTCCACCTAATAAATTATTTTGCAAGGCACTCTCATTCCATTAACTCTGTCCAAGTTCACATTTCTTCAAGAAATTGTATACTTCAGTAAAAATATAATACTAATAGAGAGAGTTGTGATGAAATACTGGATGATGGCAACAAGAAAACAAATAACAGGACAACAATGGTTGATAACTGATTGCAACATTCCACTCCTGACAGTTATAAATATCTAGTTACATTGGAAGCCAAGAGGAATTCATTTCAACAAACTGTGCTTGTGGCTGTTCCACTGTAAACCAGAACTCTAACTTAAATAGTTGTTAGAAGGGAAATTAAATGAGGACTGCTGTTGAGTTAATGTTAATTGTTCTATTAACTGAACAATTGTGCAGTCAGATTGTTAGATTTATTCCCCTGAAACACCTCAGTAGCTATGTCTACAAAGCAGCTGAAGTTCTGCAATCCAGAAAATATTGTTTTAATTTAGCTGTATATTTGAGCCCCATATCTGATTTTTAAATTACATTGTAAGATTTAAAGGATGAAAGCTAAACTGAAAGCCTCAGGCCTGGGCTACACTACAGGGCTAGGTCGAATTTAGCCGCGTTAGGTCGATTTAAAAATGACTGCGTCCACACAACCAACCCCGTTCCGTCGACCTAAAGGGCTCTTAAAATTGACTTCTGTACTCCTCCCCGACGAAGGGAGTAGCACTAAAATCGACCTTGCTGGGTCGAATTTGGGATAGTGCGGATACAAATTGACAGTATTGGCCTCCAGGAGCTATCCCAGAGTGCTCCATTGTGACTGCTCTGGACAGCACTTTGAACTCCAATGCACTAGCCAGGTACACAGGAAAAGCCCCAGGAACATTTCCTGTTTGGTCAGCGTGGCGAACTCAGCAGCACAGGTGACAATGCAGTCCCCCCAGAATTGTAGAGCATAGAATGTTTCTACGCTCCCCCTATCATCTCCGTCCCTGAGGTTATCGCAGATTAGAAGGCGAAAAAAACACACTCATGATGACATGTTTTCTGAGCTCATGCAGTCCTCCCGCACTGATAGGGCACAGCTTAATGCATGGAGGCATTCCGTGGCAGAGGCCAGGAAAGAATTAAGTGAGCGCAAAGAGCGAAGGCAGGATGTGACGCTGAGGCTAATGGAGGAGCAAATGGACATGATGAAGTGTCTGTTGGGGGAGCAAACGGACATGATGAAGCATCTGTTGGAGCTGCAGGAAAGCCAACAAGAGCACAGACCCCCGCTGCATCCACTGTATAACCGCCTTCCCTCCTCCCCATGTTCCATAGCCTCCTCACCCAGACGCGCAAGAACGTGGGGGGGAGGCTCCGGGCAGCCAGCCACTCCACTCCAGAGGATGGCCCAAGCAACAGAAGGCTGTCATTCAAACAGTTGGATTTTTAGCGTGGCTACAATAAGCAATGTGGCCTTGTCCTTTCCTCCTCCCCCACCCCACTCGGGCTACCTTGTCCCTTAGCTCTTTTTTTTTTTTTTAATTAATAAAGAAAGAATGCATGGATTCAAAACAATAGTTACTTTATTTGGAAGGGGGAGGATGGTTGGCTTACAGGGAATTAAAATCAACAAAGGGGGTGGGTTTGCATCAAGGAGAAACACACACAACTGTCACACCGAAGCCTGGCCAGTCATGAAACTGGTTTTCAAAGCCTCTCTGATGCACAGCATGCCTTGCTGTGCTCTTCTAATCGCCCTGGTGTCTGGCTGCTCAAAATCGGACACCAGGTGATTTGCCTCAACCTCCCACCCCTTACTCTCACAGATATTATGGAGCACAATGCAAGCAGCAATAACAATGGGAATGTTGGTTGCGCCGAGGTCTGACCTCGTCAGCAAACAGCGCCAGCGAGCTTTTAAACGTCCAAAGGCACATTCCACCACCATTCTGCACTTGCGCTGCCTATAGTTGAACTGCTCCTTACTACTGTCCAGGCTTCGTGAGCCATGGGAGCAAGGGGTAGGTGTTACCGTGCGGCCCTGCCGGCTGGGAGAGCAGCCTGAGGCAGAAGCCTCCAGCTCACAAGATATTCCAGGTAGGACTGAATCTCCATGAGAAGAAAATTAAAGAAGACAATGACCTGGAGTCTCTGGCTTCCATTCAGTGCTCTAGGATAGCCATGTCTGTCCAGGCGCCGCTGATCGACCCCACCGAGGTCTGCCAGGAGCACCCAGGAGACGTACGATGGCTATCAGTCCTACTGCACCGTCTGCCGCGAAGGCAAGGAGCTGCTGCTGTGTAGCAATGCAGTACCGCGTCTGTCAACAGCACCCAGGAGACATACGGTGATGGTGAGCTGAGCGGGCTCCATGCTTGCCGTGATATGGCGTCTGCCCAGGTAACCCAGGAAAAAAAGGCGTGAAACGATTGTCTGCCGTTGCTTTCAAGGAGGGAGGGAGGGGAGCCTGACTACATGTACCCAAAACCACCCGCAACAATGTTTTTGCCCCATCAGGCATTGGAAGCTTAACCCAGAATTCCAATGGGCAGAGGAGACTGCGGGAACTGTGGGATAGCTACCCACAGTGCACCGCTCTGTAAGTCGATGCTAGCCACGGTAGTAAGGACGCACTCCACCGACTTAATGCGCTTAGTGTGGACATACGCAATCGACTGTATAAAATCGGTTTCTAAAAATCGACTTCCATAAAATCAACCTAATTTCGTAGTGTAGACAAGGCCTCAGATTCCTAATTTCCATCCAACCTAATAGAATCTGGATTAAAAGTCTATATCAAAAGTTGATCATACCGAGATAAATATAGTCTGTCTTTTTAAAGTACTAACATAGCCCTCCACAACCACAGTATCTGAAGCCCAGATCCACAAAAGGACATAGCAGCTAAACTCCAGATTTAAGCTCTACTGCAATCCACAAACACTCCTAGGGTGCTACTTAACTCTGTAGGTGCCTAAACTCACTCCGCACCTACAGTTTTGCTATAGAAGTTCCCTCGGCGCTTAAGCTGCTACCTCCGGGCATCTGCAGTACACTTGACTCTAGGACTCTGGTTGCATATCTCATGCCTAAGCCCCAGCAGGATCCTCAAACCAGGTGAAGATCGGCATTCCCCAGCCTATCTTGCCTGTGGGACCTGATCTCTGGAATTTTTAGTGCACAGTAGCAGGTCACATGGCCAGTGAGCGCATGGCATGCTAGTCCAGCTTGCCATGCACTAAATCGCCACATGGACAAGCCTTTACTCTGTTACTTGGTGGCTACGGCACTCACCTAGGAGGAGGAAGACCCAGGTCCAGCCACCTGCTCCAAAGACTATGTAATTATTTATCCAAAGTAGAGCAGCTTCAATAGGAGTCTGGCAGGCAGAGCGACTGATTTAAATGAGAGCAAAATCTGTCCCACACTGATGTGATAGAAACTGTTGGTCAGAGTCAATATCTGTGCGCCAGACAAGGGGAAATGTTGGCCCAAAGCATACAGACCCTCAGTTGAAATTGTGTTGTGTTTATTTATGAACATTGAAAATATAAATAAATCAGAAAATCTCCTGTTCAAGTGAAGCAATTCATCTTTCTAATCCTTTACACCCTGCACAGTTATCTGCTTCTCCACTGAGGGACACCACTTCTACAGCAGGATCCTAGACTGCTGCACCTCAAGAGTGCCACCGTGATTT